TATCATTTAAAATCACTTGAGCTTTGTTAAGAACTTTTTATTTATTTGCAATAAAAGCATACAGTTTGTACTCCATGCCAGGAAATCATATCCTACCCATCTATACTTGCCCCAGTGAAACTCAAAGACTTCCCTGGATTTTCTTTTCCTCATTCTTTGAATTTTAATCTGTGTGTTTTTAGTCTTTGAGTTAACTAAGAAGTCTTTTCGTTCTGTGAACTAAGCACATTCCTTCAAAACCACAGGCATCCACTTCTCATTGGATTTATGACAATCACAACATTGGCATGCAGGTAAAAAAAAGAATTCAATTTGCTTTTCCCATCACACCTCCGGTTACCTCAGGGAAGCCCACTTTAATGGGAAAGAAGGAAGGACAATTTATGCCATCCTAACCATGTCCAAGTGTTCCACAATATTCCTCAGTAGTCTACCCTTTCCTCTAGAGCTCTAGTATTGAATCATTAGAGTTTTGCCTTTCAGAAAAAGGTGGCGTTTCAAGGAAAAGGGATTCTAACAAATAGCAGCCCAGAGGAACTTCCCTTCTTCAAATAGCCTCTTTAGGAAATTCCTTTCTAAATCTAATAAATTTATGGATTAAACTACTTTCAAGGATGGGATGGCCTGAGAGCATTCTAAACTGAGATTAGGACTTTATCCTTTGTTCAACACACAACACGGATCACTCAAAGCACTTAATAAATATTTAACAGAATTGGTCAGTGACATTCTAAGAGTTAGAAAAGGCTTTAAAACTTGCTTTGTTTTTTCTATCAACACAATGACAAACATAAATGGGTGGATTATAGCTCAATGTAAAGAGAATAAAGAGAATAAAGATTAAGAATAAAAGAGGTGAAACACCTCATATGGTTTCTGAGAAAGGCCAAACATCCTATTTGTGTTGCTCTTTTTAGCTGGTTATTGGGCAGACTGCTCTACAAGAGAAAATGTGATAATCATAAGAGAGGAAAATGAAAATTGTAGTCTTTCCACTAAAAAGGGTCAATTCAGTCTCAAGAACAATAAAAGAGCACGGCCTCCCACACTGTCGGCTATATAATTAGTAATATTTCCTACGATAACAAACATAATTTACACTATAATTATTAAAAAATTCATCCTACAAAAAGTTGCTTGAGTTTAAAACGACAACCTTAGTACAACATTAGAGTACATTGATGCAGCTATTTGTATTCCTGATACTCCATTGTACTTTGAGTCCACTAAGAACATAAAATTACTTTTCTTAGATTTTCCCATATGTTAAGTACAATCTTATGGATTCGTGGCTATCAGGCAGAATTAAGTCACTTGAATTCCTGGGCAGAGAGGAGTGGAGCTATATAAACATGAGAAAAAGAGCCATTACCATTCAGTGATCAAACCATTAAAATATATATTTTATTGCCATAAAGTGTATCATTGTTTTACCACCATAGTATACTGTTTTTGCAAAGTTGAGAAATAATGGGTTTATTCTGCTTTTATAATTAAAACATCACTTTCAAAGTTTGTAAAGCTCACTGAACTAACCACAGTAATGGTGGAGTTGGGCTTCCTTATTTTGTTTTTAAGGGAAGTGTTTAAGTTTGAAAGCAACAGTGCTGGTGGTTTTAAAAGTAAATACACTGATATTAGAAGCAATGTAGTATGATACTCTTTTCACCAAAATATTTTCTACCATTTGTGAAAGAAAGGAAAAGAGATGAGAATAACCTATGATTATGTAAACTGTGGAAGGGTAAATTAAGGAGGGACTTAATCAAATATATATTTTTAAAAATAAATACAGATAAGAGTACTCCAGAAACCAATATTGCACTGTATATTAACTAACAAAGTTTAAATAAAATTTAAAGAAAGAAAAAAATACAGAGAAGAGTGAGTATATTAGGGCGCCTGGGTGGCTCAGTTGGTTAAGCGACTGCCTTCGGCTCAGGTCATGATCCTGGAGTCCCGGGATCGAGTCCCGCATTGGGCTCCCTGCTCAGCAGGGAGACTGCTTCTCCCTCTGACCCTCCTCCCTCTCATGCTCTCTGTCTCTCATTCTCTCTGTCTCAGGTAAATAAATAAAATCTTTAAAAAAAAAAAAAAGAGTGAGTATATTATAGTAGGAAGACTTTAATACAGCAGCTGACAGAACTTCCCAACCATAAGGGCAGTGAAAAACTGAAAGAAGTATAATGTGTTTTCCTTTGGAAATTGAGAACACAGATAATTCTCCTTAAATGTAATGTTATATAGAAAAGAGAACTGGTTTGGTTAATGTCTTGACAGTCTCATTTTTTTTTTCACTAGTATGAAGGTAAAAAAGACAGAAAAAAGGGACTCTGGGCCAAATCCATATGTACAACTCTCAGCTTGAGTTCTTTAGGGACTGAGTAGTTTTGAATAGCTGAGTTTTCTGGAGAGGTATGTGTATATCATCCCAAGAATTAAAATTTTGAATGAAAATATTACTAAATTGTATTTATGATCTTTATTCTTCCCTTCAGACTTCAAAGGCTTTTTAAAAATACTATGTGAGTCATGGAAACTTATAGAAATTAAAAAGGAAAAGAAACAGCCATAATCTTACCACCCAGAAACCACCAGGAGGTACACAGAACGTAATTCAAGGCTGTAAAATAATGAGATCCTCAAATCTACATGAGTATTTTCTAAAGCCTGTTACTATGCTATCCATGTTACTCTGCTAAATTCAAACCCTTTTGTCCAGCTCCAAAGACTAACCTCTTAACCTTCTCCAAGGCTTGTGCCCTAAAAGGCCACACATTGTTATAAATTTTAAGAGCTCCCACACATGCATCCTTGACACTATAATTTTTCAAACTTTCCTTAGCATCAGATTCTCGTTTTTCAGTTTTCAAAGATATATTTTCTTTTTATGGTATTCCCACCACCTTTCCAATTTGCTGCTTTAAATTTGCTTAAGCTTGTAAACATCAGTAACAAAACAAGCTCACTGAAATCTTGTGAAACACAAAAAAGACTTCCAATAGGTGAAGTAGCTATAGACTTTGTGATATATATATATTGATCATTCCCTACTCATAGTTCTGTTCTGATAGAAGAGATGTTACTATTCTGGCTTTGAGACATGAAAGATAAGACATTTAAGTCTAAACATGCATTAGCCAATCTTGAAAAATCAACATACTTATAACCCAAAATGATTTAATAAAAATTTAGATAGTTATAGATGGAAAGGCACATTACCCAGTCAAGAAACCTGCTCATACAGCAGAGTGGAACAGTGACTACATCTGCAGAAAATATGTTCATATACAAGCTACAAAAAAATCAAATGTGCCATAAAACAAGGCAGGTGAGGAGTCCCTAAGGATAAGGAATGTTTAAACAAGAAAAGAGGCTCATTCAATGCTCTGTACTAAAAAATGAGTCTCAGGTTCAAAAAGAAGTTAGGAGGGGCGCCTGGGTGGCTCAGTCAGTTAAGCGTCTGCCTTTGGCTCAGGTCATGATCCCAGGGTCCTGGGATCAAGCCGCACATTGGGGCTCCCTGCTCAGCAGGGAGCCTACTGCTCCCCTTGCTTGTGCTTGCTCTCTCCCTATGTCAAATAAATAAATAAAATCTTAAAACAAAACAAACAAAGTAGTAGGAGACTGCTCCTAACTCATTCTGGCCCAAAAAGGTGAAGAAGGCAGACCACCAGAAAGAATAATGGAGTAGAGAAAGGAGGCCAGGGAAGTTTGACACAAATAAAGACTAACAGCGGCTTTCTTGTTTTGATTAGGGGAAGACCAGTGGATATAGAAGAAAGGTTGCCTTGAAGGCAACACAGTGCTCTTATTTCAATCTTGGCTGGGGTCAGCCCTGTTTATCTTCCACCAAATGTGGATAAATAAGAAGCCTCAAAGAGCTGTTTTTATCATATAAACTTGGTAGGTATATGGCTTTTAAACCTGATGACACATAATATATATGTGTGTATGTGTATAATTTCATTATATAAAGTTTCTTTTTGTTTGTAAGGTTAACATGACAGCTTCATTAATCAAGTTATGATAATTAAAATTTATTTGATTAGAGTTTAACTAATATGTAATATTAGTTATTTTGCAACTATAGAACATATGCCTCTGGGAAAGGGGGCCCAATTGCTTGCAGTGGCAATTAAATGGATGGCAATTAAACCTGTACTTTCCTTCCACTGGCCTCTGTTCCCTGCTAGGCTCTCGCTTAAGAGAGAAGAAACATGATGTCACTCTGACCCAAAAATCTCTAATTCTTAGGATGGAAGGTATTGACAGAACCTAAGAGTTTGATGGTTCTAAAGGCATTCCTGAGTTGCTCCATGGGGATGAGGCTCTCAGAATAAGACCCTGGATACATATTTAAGACTGAAACCCCATTTCCACCCTTCCATGATTTTTCTCCTTAAGTCTGCCACTCAAGTCTCCTTGTCCCCCTAAGTCTTCCTGTGTCCTTGTACTCTATCAGGATGATGTGACACATCAGCATCTGAGTTTTTCAAGCCAATAGCTTATAGTTACTTACTAAAAAACAAACAAACAATCAAGTTTGTAAAGAAGGGATACTTACATGTAGTAACCATGGCCTCCCTTTGCCCTCTTTATACTTTATTCAAATAAAATTATAAAAAGGGACTGTAATTTATATTCAGATAATTAAGAAGTGATTTTTTACTCCTGCATCCATTGTATATAAATGTAAATGACAACATCTCTTAGATGCTTTGGGTACTAGGGGAAAAAAGTGGTCCTTGATAAAATGCAACATTATCACACAGATTTGAGTACCATGTAAGTAATTAGCCATGACAACTCAAACTTAAGCAACATAGTAAGTACTTATTACCTTCACTAGCAAGGAAAAATGCATGAACTGCCTAAACAATGTAGCATTTTAAAAAATTCTTATTTACTTCCAGCTATTCTGTGGCTATTAACATTGTGGGTGCTTTTAAAGGTCAAAAACAATGAACTGTCTAAAAATATTCTGAATAGCAATGGTATTACATTGTGAATTTTATTTTCAAATTTTGGTCAATAAAGAAGAAAATAATAAAGTTAAGCAATCAAAAGAAGTACCAAAAAAAGACATTCATATACACAAAAGATATGAACAGTATAGATTCACTTCCAGTTGATTCAATTCTACTTACACATTTAAAATATAAAATACATCTTAATTTGTGAAGAAACTGACCACATTTAGCACCAGGAAAGGAACTTTACTTTAGCTTTTGATCATGACTTCAATATCTTGTCATAGGAAAAGAAACTGCATGGAAACTATATGTATTTATCACTGTCAATTAATAAAAAATTAATTTTGAAAAGTAACTGTTGCTTATCATCAATTCACAAGTGATTCAAAGGGAATAAATCCTTAAAACTGGAACTACTTGATATTGCGCACAACTCTCCTACAGTGGTTTGTTTTCATCTCTTCCAATGCTTGTTCCAATTGCTGAACCAAATGGAGAAGAGTGGCTGGGTCTGTCTGCAGAACTCTGGTGTTGTGATCTCCGTTCTGATTAAGGTGTAGCTTTATAGTCACTGATGGTTTAATCTGTTGCCTGAGGCTTCTGCTTGCAAGCTTCATTTTAAATGGAATAAGAGTATAATAACTATTTAACAATCATGCTGAACACACAGTATTTATAATTACCTTATATCATATACAAAAATCAAGTTTTACATGAATCATAGACTTCAAAATGAAAAATAAATTTTAAAAAACTTCGGAAAGAAAAAAGAAGAGAATATACACACAACCTTGCCATACAGGATTTCTTAAACATGATATAAAAGACATAAACCATAAAGAAAAAAAACAGATAAACTGAACCACATTCAAATTGTTACATTTTCTTCTAAAGGATACCTAAAGATGGTGGGAAAACAAACCACAAACTTAGAGAAGATAGTTTGTAACGCATATAGCCAAAAAAAAGATTAGTATTCAGAATGTATGAAAAACTGTTCTGATTAAAAAAACAACAAAAACAACAACAAAAAAAAACCCTACAAGACCAAGAGAAAAATGTGCATGAGACCTAAGTAAGCACTTCACAAAATAAATAACATAAATAGATAAACATAGGAAAACATGTTCAACTTTATCAGAAATCAGGAAAATGGCCAACAAAACCATAAAGTTCTGTTTTATACATATCAGACCAGCAAGAATTAAAAACCTGTCCAAATGAAGGCACTGTGAGCAACAGTCATGGGAACTCTCCCACTGCTGGTGAGAGTGAAAAGAGAATGGCTTCGGAAAATATACATTACCATCAATTCCACACCTAGGTATATACCTTGAATTTTTACATGTATATATTACATTCATAATAGTAATTGTTTTTGTTTCCAAGAGTCAAAAATTAGAAATGTCTCAAATATTCTTTAATAATAGAATGGATACATTGAGAATGCTCATACAATAAAATGCTTACTAAATGGCAATGAAAAGAAACGAACTACAGCAATATAAATTGTTATGGAGAAATCTAAAAAAATGAAAAATCAAGTTGCAGAGTAATACATAAAAACTAAAGTTAAATGAAAAAACATGTGTAAAAAAAGAACTATAAAGAAAGGATTAATAGAAAATTCAGGATAATGGTTACCTCCAGAGGAGTGGGAGGGGTTGTAACTGGGGGAGGTCATGCATGGTTTTGTTTTGTTTCTTAAGCTTGGCAGTGGGTACTTGTTTTATTATTATTCTTTAAACTGAATATCTATAATCTTGATATAGATATTCTGATATAGAATATATCAGAATGATATATTCTGAAATTTTTTTAAAAAGTACAATTGACATATTTTTAAAAGAAAAAAAAATCCAAATACTAGAAACAGTGGCTAACTGTCCTAGCACAAGACTGTTCTCTAAAGACTATTCTTCCTTAAAAGAAACCAGGACCTCCTTAAAGGAATACGTGGTTAGAGGTCTGGGACAACAATTGTACAAGATGAACCTGAAACATCTTGTTATACAAGAAAGCAAGACTGTTACCTAAAACTATTGGAGTCATGGCAAAAGGACAAGAAGCCAATCTGAAGAGACTGCCAGTGAGTAACAAATCTAAACCTGAGATTTCAGGATTAATTTCATACCACAACACAGAATATTCTGACTAATAACTCCTTCCAATTAATTCTAGGTGATCTGGCTTCCAAAAGAACCTAATATACTGACCCATGGCTGAAATTTAATGTCAAAAATAATCTGGAAACAAGTCAATCCCCTTGAGTGAGCCAGTTCCCAAACAGAATATAGGTACTTTTAAGTTAAAGTATGATCATTTCTCTAGTACAGAAAATTATAGGTATGAAAGATAGGTAAACTATTAAGTATGATGACTGAAAATACCACCTATTGATTCACTTATGCACTGTTTATACTTCTTTTTTCTCTATATAACTGCATTGACAGATGGGGACCAAATGTATCTAGGTGTGTAATTAAGCCATGAACTTTTTGTTTAGAGACTTAAGGTCACTCAATCTATCCTTAAATTTTTAGACAACATAACACCTAAATTAATATCCTTTACAAATAAGTATCCATACCACTCTTTAAAATTTCTAAATAAAGATTACATAACATCCCTAACAAACACCTAGTAAGACATAATCAAACCTAATTTTTTCTCGGAAAGAAATTTCGATGACAATACAGGATAAAGAACAGTAGGCCACGAAGTTCTTGATATGGACTTATTTTTTAATAGGGAGGAAATTCTGTCCTTCTTGTAAAAATAACAGCAATTTAAATGGATCAGTCCTAAAGGTAAAATCTCAGATGCATTCAATTTACTGATGCTATCAAATGCATTAACTGTGGTGGCAACTTATGAAGGGAAATGTTTCTATTAGAAACTAAACTATGATGATTAATGTAAGCAACTGCACAATAATTAGATGGTAACTGTCCATTCACTACCAGTGTTCATGAGACAAATCAGTTACTCAAAAATGAAAGGTCCTATATCCTGTTATTAGTTTCCCAGCCATTTAGCTGATCTTCATCTGACAAGTCTTCCTCCCATAAACAGAAGAATCTACTCCAGTTAAACTCCCTTGTAATAATTAAGACTAATGAGCTCAGAAAATCAGTTAGTTCTTTAAGTAGCTTTTTAGCCATAAATGCATTTCACCACATGAAGCAATATTCATTCAGTACACCCTCAACTTTAAAATGTATTAGTCCTTGCAATAACACGGCTATTCAAACCTATTTCACTGGGTAAATGAGCTCTCCCGAGTTTTAGAAAATTCAATTGCTTAAGTTTCTAATTTCTAAAAATGTATTCATAACGGAAAAACTCAAAGCAAATCACAAAGCCAAAAAAATAACTTCTAAGGGCTACCAGAACCCAAATTCAGAAATTATCCCCATTCAAAAGAACGGTAAAGATGTACAAGATAAATTACTGCTGAATCTCATGAACATGACCATCCCCACACCTCCTCTACCTGGTTATTATGAGAGGACTGAAACATAAAAGCTTAGCAATAGTGATCTCCTCCCCGGGAACCCCACAGGATTTGCTTCTTATGGTGTCTCCAAGAGCATGAACTGTGTCTGGTTCTTTGTGAATCCACATCACCTAGCACATTATAACTGTACAAGAAGCTTTTAAAAATTCAGCACTGGATGCCTATTATGTACCAGGCATTGTGCTGGGGACAGACTAGTGAACAAGACATAGTAATTGCCCTCATGGAGCCTATAAACTGGTTTATACCATATCTGTGTTTGTACCTATTCAAGCACTCATCACATTGGATTATACTTGCTAAACCCTCTCACTGAATTTCTGTAACCTGTTTGGACCATCTTATCACCATTCAAATCAGTAAGAATCCACTGTAACAGTGGTTTATAAACTGTAAGCTAGAATTACCTGGGTAACAATGTTTAAAAAATCCTGATGCCCAGGTCAAACCCCATAACAATAAATCAGAATCTCTGGGGGTAGAACACAGACATGAAAATATTTTAAAACTACCCAGGCCATTTCAATATGCAGTCAAGTTTGAGGACTAGTGCGCTATACCACATATTCAACTCTCATTCCCACATCCATGTGGGCTTTTACAACTACGCTGCCTCCTCTTCCAAGAATATTAACACTGGTTTTCTCCATTCATCCTTCTGAAATTTCATCTCCTTTTGTTGAAACTTTTCTGGACTGTGCAAGCATACACTGAACCACCTAAGCTATAGGTTTTTGAAATATAATAAATACTCAGTTGTACCTTCATTTATATAATTATATTTTCCCCCCTCCAGAAATCTATTTTACAACTATCTTTAAGTACTAGTTATTTTGAGAACATCTAATATCCCTAACTAAATGATAACATCTTTTCCATCTGAGAAAATGTCCTATGCTTCTTTTTTGTCCCAAAGCATTTAGCACAGCTCTAATCAGCAAATGGACGACATTCAATAAACATCTATTAACTTATCTGTCACTGCTTGATAAAGGGCTACATGCAAGAGTCTGAGAACTCCCTTTCGGTTATCTGTGTGGCTTTACAAACAACTAAATAAACAGGATGTGTAAAAGAAGCCAGACACAAAAGAATATTTACTGAATCATTCCATATATAGAAAGTTAAAGAACAGGCAAAAGTAATCTATGTATCTGAAGTCAGGACACTGGTTACCTTTGCAAAGGAAGGAAGGGGAAGTAATTGGTAGGAGGCAAAGAGGATGCTTCTGGGGTGCCTGTCATGGGCAAGTGTTGGTTTCATGGGTGTTTTCACCATGTGATAATCCAGAGCTTTACAATGCCCTGTGCACTTTAATATATGTGTGTTTTGTTTAAACATAAAAGTTTCATAAAATCAAATACAACTTTAAAAATCTGCATGCCCATCTCCTTTTCAAAATAACCTATTTCTTACAAGCTATGCAAATTAAACTAATCTAAACACATTAAGCATATAAGAAAATGAGCTATTGGGGCGCCTGGGTGGCTCAGTTGGTTAAGCAACTGCCTTCGGCTCAGGTCATGATTCTGGAGTCCCTGGATCGAGTCCCACATCAGGCTCCCTGCTCAGCGGGGGGTCTGCTTCTCCCTCTAACCTTTCCCCTCTCATGCTCTCTGTCTCCCATTCTCTCTCTCAGATAAATAAATAAAATCTTTAAAAAAAAAAAAAAAGAAAAAAAAGAAAATGAACTATTTGTGAAATAGTCTCAAAATAAACATTGAAAAAAAATTAGTTTCAAACCAAAGTTTGGTTAAGGTGGTAAAGAATAAAATAAGCTTAAGAGCATGGAACTAAAATTAATCTTATATTCTACGTCAGGTGGGGAAAAAAAAAAGCCATACCTGTACATCTAGTCGCCATTCAAGGCTGTGGTAACTTGGAAGGTCTGGTGCCAATTCACTCAGAATAGTTCTGATCTCTTTTCTGTTGTCCAGATAAAGCTGAAGCAATAATTTGTTCAATTCTTCAGAGAATCCCAGAACAAAAACAGAGTCTTGGAAATCCAGTTCAGAAATCTGAAAGTGAATCAAGTTTAACAGAACATTAAATTTATCTTTGTCTAGTAAATGCTAAAATATTTGAAAAGAATATACTATCCCCTAATTCTTTTCTGCCTGGTAAAAGAAATAACATCCTTTATATTTAAAGGTAACTCTTGCCCACTATTCCAAAATCTGAGTCTCTGATACATAAAAATACTTTTATTAAAACATAAAAAGAATTGTTGGGTGCCTGGGTGGCTCAGTTGGTTAAGCGACTGCCTTCGGCTCAGGTCATGATCCTGGAGTCCCGGGATCAAGTCCCACATAGGGCTTCCTGCTGAGCAGGGAGTCTGCTTCTCCCTCTGACCCTCCCCCTTTCGTGCTCTCTCTTTCTCATTCTCTCTCTCTCAAATAAACAAAATCTTTAAAAAAAACATAAAAAGAATTGTTAAAATGGCCAGTTTCTCTCCTATTCTCCATCAAGCTAGATATTGCTAATATGCCAAAAAAAAAAAAAAAGTCATTTAATTCTCCCTCCTCCTAGGATACATACTACTGTATATGGTTTAATAACATGTAGAATTAGAAGTAATTCTAATTTATACTAGAAGAGGCATTCATGCCAGCAGATCACATTATAGTCCCATATTGTTTACGCATGGCTTCACTAAGTCAATTATAAACCATTAACATTACTGAAACAAGCAGATGCCTGCCAGGGCTATGATGTAGAGTATACTGGACCTTTTTAAGGTCAAAGAAATACAAAACAGTCCACAGAAGCCCTTACCATAAGCTTTGAGCTTTCAGTGAGGAGGTATGTTAATCCTTCCACACCATGCTGGACAGTGTCACTGCTCACATTGAGTTTTCCTGGGAAAATGGTAAAATAAGCCAATAAATTATTGTGTGATATTTATCCTTTTATTCAAATTCTTATTTAGGCATAAATATTATCCATTATTCCTATTTTCAGGCACCGTAATGAAAAATAATGAGTTGGTAATAGCCACCTGTTCATTTTCCACTGCCAGGCAGATGCCTCCAGTATTTCCCGCCATGTAACCTTCTTTACAAAATGCAGACCCATGGAGTCTAATATCAGCCGTACAGTCCTTCTCTTGAATGCTCAGCTATTTCAAGTCTGGCGTAAGAGGAACTCCAAGGACTGACAAGCTCAGAAACCAGCCCCGTCCAGCAGGGAAAAAACAATACTGCAGCAAAAGCGGATGTCTGAACAACTAATTATAACCAAACACCTGCGGGATATTAATGCCTCACCCAGCCACTCCACACACTTGGGTGCATTTAAGCATCACGGTATCTCTGGCAGATGGTATTATATGCTTTTTACGCATGACAACACCGACTCAGTGGAAGCTTTAAAGATCTCAAAACTACTCAGGGGGCGGGCAGGATTTGCGCCCAGAAGAGCCTTTCTGCTTTTATTCTACCACAACGAGAGTAAGACCCTTGGAGCTGCAAAAAACCCTTCCTCTCCAGGGTGCCAAAGAATGGCCCGCACTTCCCCGTGCAGCAACTCTCCCCGTCTTACTGGCGGCGCCTTCGTAGATCTTGGGGTTAGAGCCTCGCCTCAGGAACTCCACCGCAATCCGCCCAAACTCCGCGACCACTGCAAGGGAAGCCAGGAGACCATGAGCGCTGGGCGCACCCCTTGGTCCCCCAAGCCACAGGACTCCACCCTCTGCTGCCGCGCCCCTGACCCGTGCTGTCCACTTGCGGCAAAAAGGCCAGGTGCTCCTTATGCTCCTCCGACAGGTCCAGCAGCATCTTCGCGAGGCGGAGGATTTCTCTTGGCGGCGTTGACCCCGCCCTCGCCACTTCCGGGGCCAGCGCCAAGCGCAAAGAGGCTCCGGCTCCTCAACATCCCCAGCTTTTGGGTTCCGGTCTGTCGCAGTCCTACCCGCAAACGCCCGCGGGTGGTGTGTTCTGGGCTCAGAAGATTCCTCCGTTCGCAAATCATCCTGAAAAGATGTAGCCGGGTGGTGCTCGGTGCTATGCTCTATGGAAGAGGAAAAGATGTTTAAAATCCGACACGTCCCCTTGTGGAGCTTACATTAATAATATCAATAGCTAGCATTTTTTAAGCACTATGTCAGGAAATGTTCTTACATTTATTGGAGTTCAAAAGAATTCCACGAGGTAGGTACCATTATTGTTCCCATTAGAGATAAGGAGACAGAGAAAGGTCAAGCAACTGAAACTAACTTTTATAGAGCTATTAGTTTGCACAGAGCTTTTGTATACGTTACTTTATTTGATTGACCTTATTTAATTCGCTCAATAGCTACGACCTCGTTTTTACAGATGAATCAAAGCTCCAAAGATTACATAATAAGCCAGAGACAGAGCTGGAAAGAGAGGTCAGATCCCTTGACGACCTGCTCCAAAGCCCATCATTCTACACAGCAGGCTGAAACCTGAAGGTTTGTAACAAGTTCTGTGAATGATTATGAATTAGGACAAAGATGGTGATGACGACAACAATGACTGATGCTTGCAGGGTTCAGAACGATATCTTATTTTAATGTGTTGAGAATAGGGTGAAAATTTGGTTCCTTTCCCAGCTTTCTCTTCTCACCTGCTGTGGTTCAAATATCAGAGTACAGAATTGCTAATTGATAATAATATGACTCTCCAAATCTCAATCCCTTGGAGGGGGAGTTGTTGGGGGAGAAGGGAAGGGGGCGGGAGAGAGACTTCATATCTATTGTTGTATCTAAGGATTGAGATAACTCTTTCTATGCTCTGATTCTCTTGGGCAGAAATGAAAATTGGAAGTTTTTCAGCTCTGTTCACTGTGTGTACTTTGTCCTTCACATTGTTTGTTTCCTCCACTGCTGCACGGAAAGGCACGTCCTTAAACTTGTTAATTAGGTCATGAAACAGCATTTGCAGAGAGAGCACAATCTTTTCTGAGACTCTAAGTTGCAGATCAGGAAAAATGGCATCATTTCCTGAAGAAGGTTTTATTCATACGTTATTGAGAAAATGTCCATTATTTAAGAATAATTTTCAGAAAAGGTAAAACCATGATTCTTTTACAAATATATAATGAATACATGCCAAAGATTGTGTTGGACCCATGGGTTAATGAGGGGATCAGTAAGATTACAGTAAGAGCCAGTTTCAACTGGCACGAAGGAGATAATTCAAGAACCATACATCCATAGGGAATAAGGAATGCTGAAATGAATCTACAAATAGATATAATGCTATGCCAATATGGTATAGCCTTTCTTGCCTGTGATCTCAGGAACTGAAAATGGGAGCAGGGGAGGGAGATAGGGAATAGGAGTAACAGAATGGGTGACCAAAGAAGGTGGTCAAGAAGCCAAGTTACAGCTGAGGGAAAACAGCTTGGGAGTTAAAACTCTCTGGGATAATCTGCAGGGAAACTTTTTGTTACCAAATGTCATACAGTTGTTTAGAGGAAATTACCTGAATGAAAAATCAAAAGTCTAGATTCCAGATCTGGCTCTCACACCTGCTACCTGTGAGGCTGCTAACAAGTTCTTTTTATATGTTATAAACTTAGTCTCTTCATTTGTAAATGGGTGTTTTAATGATTATTGCCTTTATGTGCCATGCAGGGCTGTTATCATGCTTAGATGAACTAATAAATTCACATTAAGAAATTGATTTTAGGGGCACCTGGGTGGCTCATTCAGTTAGTTAAGCGTCTGTCTTCAGCTCGGGTCCTAGGATCCAGCCCCACATTAGGCTCCCTGCTCAGTTGGGAGTCTGCTTCTCCCTCTCTCTCTGCCCCCCCTCCATTGTGCTCTCTCTCTCTTTCACTCTATCTCAAATAAATAAAATTTAAAAAAAAGAAATTGATTTTAATGATCAAATGAAATAAGTCAGTGTTAAACACTTGAAAGTTTTTTAAACTGAAGCATTTATATTTTATAGAAGATTTTATGTGCCCAAATTATTGAGAATTCCGTGTGCATAATCATCCTAAAATCCATTCATCTAATGCAACAAATATTTGCTAATCCATTTATCTAATGCAACAAATATAGAGAGCAATTACTCAGAGGTTCAACCATATGCTATGCCTTGGCAATTTGGAGATGAATAGAACAATGACCTTTCCTCTAGGAAATGACAATAAAGTGAGGGAGACAATCAAGTGAAGTAAATACAGTATGAGGAGTGATAATTCTTGAGGGTTGAACAAAATTATATGGAACCATAAAGAAAGTAGCAATTGACTATGATTCCAATAGATTCAGGTTTAGAATAAGTGTTCCAGGGTATGCCTGTGCATGCTAATACTAATGCTTTACAATTGTATAACCTTGTAATTATATAAGGTCGTAAAGTCACTTCACGCTATTTTACTTCTGGGGCTAAAGTGAAGAAAGAATAAATACTCCGTATTTTTTCTGTTGATTCTGGCAGGGAACAAGGCTTCATATCAGTTGTCCTCTCACATTCTCTCCTTATCTTTCTATCTCCCTCCACCTCATCCACTTTTCTTTTCCTTTAGATTTCCCCACCTTCTTTTTCCCTTCTTAGGCATTCCAGCCTCAGAATCTTTGCACCAGCATTTCCTTGGCTGTGTTTCAATGTTAACATAAAATATTATCATCCTCTGCAAGGAATTGCAGTTCAGTTCAGCATACTGTGAAGAGAATAAAAGCATGGTGATACCCATCACTCACATAAATTGCCCTCTCATGAATCTGAGGCAGCCACAAAATGCATGAATTAGTTCCTTAGATTTTTAAATAATTATTTTAGTTTATTTATTTATTTGATTTATTTATTTGAGAGAGAGAGAGAGAGAGCATGTGAGTGAGCATGAGCAGGGGGTAGGGGCAGAGGGAGAAGCAGGCTCCCCAATGAGCAGGGAGCCGGACAGACAGAAGGACGCAGGGCTGGATCCCAGGACCCTGAGATCATGACCTGAGCCTAGGGCAGACGCTAAACAGACTGAGTCACCCAGGCAGCCCTAAAAAATTATTTTAGTTCACTTTTTCAATTGGATTATAAAATTCAAACAAACTGGGAAAGATAAAAAATACTTTTTGTTGAATTGCCTCAAATTGAGCACACCTAGTAACCCAGATTGAGAAATATAATATTACCAGTACCCCAGAACCTCTGCAGTGCCCTCTTCCAGTTACTATCCCCTCTTATTGTCTCTATAGTGAACTAACACCTGTACACATGCTGCTTACATCATCTTTGTATTTACTTTTACATTAACCTTCTATGTGCCCCAATCCCATAGGATCTAACTAGAAACTTAAAAGTATTTTTAAAAATGAACTTTAGGTTTTAGGTGCCTTTGATTGTTGTAACAAAGTCTGTCTTAGAAATCCTAGCAAATACCATCAAAAAATATAAAATATTTAAGAAAAATCTAACAAAAGATTTGTAAGACCCCTACCCTAAAAACTGAAACTATTGATGAGAGAAATAAAGGAAGATTTAAATAAATGGTGACATACACCATGGGTTGTGGTATTATTAAGATATTATTTGTGCTTTTTTATAGACAATGACAAGTTTATTTAAAAATCTATATGAAAGTGCAAAGGACCGAGAATAACTTAAACACACTTGGAAAAAGAAGAATAAAGCTAGAGTAGACATACTACCTGATTTCAAGACCAACTGTAAAGCTATAGTAATTAAGACAGTGTGGTATTAGTATAATCATAAGTAAATAGATCAATGGAACAAAAAAGAGAGTCTGGAAATAGATCCATACATATATTGTAAATTGATTTTTGATAAAGATACCAATGTAATTCAATGAGAGAAAAGAAAGTCTTTTCAACACCTGGTACTAGAACAATGTGATAAACCTTTGGGAAAAAAATGAATCCTGACCCTCACCTCATATCACATACACAAAAATAATTCAATATGGATTACAGACCTAACATAAAAGCTAAAACATGAGGGACACCTGGGTGGCTCAGTCGGTTAAGCGTGTGCCTTCAGCTCAGGTCATGATCCCAGGGTCCTGGGATCAAGTCCCACATCGAGCTCCCCGCTCAGCAGGGAGCCTGTTTCTCCCTCTCCCTTGGCCCCCTGCTTGTGCTCTCTCTCTCTGACAAATAAATGAATAAAATCTTAAAAAAAAAAAAAAGCTAAAACATGGAACTTCTAGAAGAAAACATATGAGAATATCTTCACGACTTTGGGATAAGCAGAGAGTTCTTTAAGAGGAAACAGAAGACATGAACCATAAAAGAAAAAAAAAAGATAAATTGTACTTCATCAAAGTTAAAAACTTTCATTCATCAAAAGGCACCATTAATAAAATGGAAAAGTGAGACACAGACTGGAAAAAAATATTTGCAATACATATATCTGACAGAGAATTTGTATCATGAGTATATAAAAATCTCCAATAAACCAATAATTAAAAGATAAATAACCCAATATTTTACATGGGCAAAACTCTTAAGTTGATACTTCACAAAAGAAGATACACAAATGACCAATAAGCACATAAAAAAGCATTCAGTATCATTAATCATCAAGGAAATGCAAATTAATACACAATGAGATGTCATTTCAAACCCACCAGAAAAACAAAATCAAAAACACTGATGACACCAAATTTTGATGAGTTTGTGGAGCAACCAGAACATCTGTACCTTGTTAATGGGAGTATAAAATCATAAAACCACTTTGGAGAACTGTTATGCAATTTCCTATAATGTTAAATGTACATGTACCCTCTTACCCAACAATTCCACTCCTAAGTATTTGCCTAAGAGAGATGAAAGCATATGTCCAGGAAAAGACTTTTACAATAATGTTCATAGCAGTTTTATTCAAAATAACACAAACTGGAGGCAACCCAAATATATATACATTTGAACAGATAAATTATGGTATGTCCATACAATGGAATATGCTAGGTAATACAAAAAATCTACAAAAGATCTGAATGAAGGAAGTACAGATATTGGAGTTATTAGATCTGGACTCCAAAAAAACTAAGAATAATATGTCCAAAACATTAGATGACAGATGAAAAATTTAATCAGAGAAGTAGAAACTGTAAAAAAAGAAAAAAAGAAAAGAAAAAGAAATTAACAAATAAGAAAGCAAATATACAATAGAAAGAATTAAAAGTAATAGTTCACTGTAAAAAAACAGAAATCAGAGTAGTGGATGCCTCTACGGTATTGGGATGGACTTTGTTATAGAAGTTTGAACAGATTTTCTGGGGTAATGGAAATATTTACATCTTGATTGGGGTATTGGTTACACTGATGTATATATTTGTCAAAGCCATTAAATCTTACATTTAAGATTTGTGTAATTCACTGTATGTATCAACTTTTTTTATTGACTTTTAAAAAATTTTTATTTTATTATGTTAGTCACCATACATTACATCATTAGTTTTTGATGTAGTGTTCCATGATTCATTGGTTGCATATAATACCCAGTGCTCCATTCAATACGTGCCCTCCTTAATACCCATCACCAGACTAACCCATCCCCCCTCCCCCTCCCCTCTAAAACCCTCAGTTTGTTTCTCAGAGTCCATAGTCTCTCATGGTTCATCTCCCCCTCCGATTTTCGCCCTACATTTTTCCCTTCCTATTAACTTCTTTTTTTTTTTTTAACTATAATGTATTATTTGTTTCAGAGGTACAGGTCTGTGATTCATCAGTCTTACACAATTCACAGCGCTCACCATAGCACACACACTCCCCAATGTCTATCATCCAGCCACCCCATCCCTCTCACACCCCACCACTCCAGCAACCCTCAGTTTGTTTCCTGACATTAAGAATTCCTCATATCAGTGAGATCATATGATACTTGTATTTCTCTGATTGACTTATTTTGCTTAGCATAATACCCTCCAGTTCCATCCACGTTGTTGCAAATGGCAAGATTTCAATTTTTTGATGGCTGCATAATATTCCATTGTATATATATACCACATCTTCTTTATCCATTCATCTGTTGATGGACATCTGGGCTCTTTCCATAGTTTGGCTATTGTGGACATTGCTGCTATAAACTTTGGGGTGCATGTACCCCTTTGGATCACTACATTTGTATCTTTGGGGTAAATACCCAGTAGTGCAATTGCTGGGTCATAGGGTAGCTCTATTTCCTATATGTATCAATTTTTAAAAATTAATAAAAAATGATATTTTAGCAGAAGTTCAAAAGATGTCCAAGACCAGTACTTGACCTAAATGGTATTTGTAACTCTCCTAGGGACTTTCTCTATAGAGAGTTTTAAAATTTATTTATTTTTACTATGTACTAACATTCATATGGTTTAAAAAACAAAAAGCATTAAAAATAAACCCAGGAAAACAAAAACAGAGAAAGAAACAGTAAAAATTCTCACCCCCCCCCATCCTTCTAGTTTTCCTACCCTGTAGGCAGCTACTTCTCTCAGTTTTTTAAGAATTCTTCAATAAACTATGTAAAAACACATGCCTGAAATGTTCACTTACAGTGATGGGAGTCGAGAAAACATGATGTTAAACATTAAATATCCTGTTGACAGTTGTGTAGCATTAGAACAGTTATTAGAAAGGGCGCCTGGGTGGCTCAGTTGGTTAAGCAACTGCCTTCGGCTCAGGTCATGATCCTGGAGTCCCTGGATCGAGTCCCGCATCGGGCTCCCTGCTCGGCAGGGAGTCTGCTTCTCCCTCTGACCCTCCCCACTCTCATGTGCTCTCTCTCATTCTCTCTGTCTCAAATAAATAAATAAAATCTTTAAAAAAAAAAAAAAAAAGAACAGTTATTAGAAATTACAGCATTAGTTACTTGAAATATTAACATTAGAACTGAAGGTTCTGTTTGTCCAAACTGGGGTTGTCATGACTTTTCAAGGCACAGTTTCTGGAGGATTTTCACATGCTGTTAGGCTTCCTTGTGTAGTCAGGTTAGAAATGCTCTTTTTGGCTAGAACTCTTGCTATTCCTAACTGCTGAAGCCATCGTTTCTCTTTAAAGGCACTGCAAGAAAACAAGACAAATAATTTGTAAGGAAGTCCAATCTTGTCCCTATTTATTGCTGAAATGATAGAAATCTCTAGGTTGATTTTGTAGCTGCCGCTAGCTTATCTTGTCACACAAGATAGGTTGTAAAAATAGAAAAGAGGAATCTTTCTCAAACTAGTTCCTTGTGAAGTAGTGGAAATGATATTTTACCAGGGCAATACTAGAAATTTGGCACCCACACCTAGAAACAGAAAACCATTCAATGTTATATAGAATTCTCTAGATGGAAACTTTTTCTGTCTGTTTCCCCAGGCATCCTTATACATCATATATTCCCTGATGTGTCTCCCTTCTCCTCCTTTTCCCCCACCACAAAAACATATTTTGTTCATTGATAAAATATTAAATAGCTTTTTACCAAAATGCAATGAAATTTAATGTTTTATGGTAGCTATTCTCTGGCTATATGCTAATAAAGACTTACAGATTTGAATATGATGACTCCTACTTTGTAAGGTATAAATGTGATTTACTACAGAGGGGTCCTCTGAGATTCTATCCTTTGTCTTCCTCTCTCTCTGCACCCTCATCCTGGGAGGCCTTATTTACTAATTGCTTCAACTCGCATATCCTTGACTCCTAAATCCTGACCAACACTTCCAATTTCCATGTCTTTTATCTTCTTCCTAAACCTGCCCCCTTTCAGTATCTCTGCTCTAACACAGCCACTTTGCTATCTCCTCACCATCTCTCCATCTGGAAACAAACCTCAATTCCTCCTTCTCTCTCTGCTTCTACATCTAATTAGTGATCTAGTTTTGCAGATCATTGCTCAGAAATATCTGTCATATTTGGCTTTTCTCCTCTTCCCTACCTACTTCTGCTCTAGTCCAGGTCTTTATCATTCCTTGCTTCTTTTATTACAGCCTCCTAAATATACTGTAGGCCCTCCACAGCTTCAATAAGACTTCTTCCCAGTGAAGAAGTCTTCCACACATCTCCACCAGATTTGTCTTCAAAAAGAAACACAAACTGATTATGTGACTTGCCTGATTAAAAAAAAAAAACAAAAAACCAACTTCTGTGATCTTCCTACCTACTTCCTAAGAAGCAGACTCTCCATTGGGCACACAAGATGCTTCTCAGTGTAGGTGCAATTTACCTTGCCAGTCTCATCTTCAGCCAGTTTCTCCCTGTCTCCTAAAATGCCTTTTGCAGATCCACTTACTTCATAGAAAACTAAATTTCTCTCTGACTCCTTCACAAAACAGTGCCCTTGACCATGTTGCCACTTCTACCTGGCTCCTTTTGTCTGACAAAGTGCTTTAAATTTAAAGGGCTTTCAGTAAATCTGTGAGAAGCAATCTTGCATTAAAGTACCTTAGTGTTTCAAATATTTGAACTCTGTCCAAGTTTGCCCAATTCATCATTAATGTTCTGGATTAACTCCTTGCTTTACCTTTGCATGTTTGCGTTCTGCCTAGCACTTCACTGTGACATAATAAGCACTTTAGAACATTTCAAAAGTGCATCCTTTGATTTCTAATGTGCATCTGTTGATAAAACTAATCAGTTTCCTATGTTTACAGCCTGATTTTAAGATGGCTATATAATTTTTTCAACCAATCATTTTTTAGTCTTTTTCTAGAATTTTAGAATATCTCTTTTTATACATTCTAGTCAGAGCTATCTCACAAATTACAAAGACTGAAGTTGGTAAGCAGTTTCTTCATCTTCTGTCAACCTCATTGTGCTGTCCGGAATTTTACCAGTTTTAGAGCCCAAATTACTGTGACCACTAGGTGGCAACAGCTTCACTGAAATAAAGTAGAGCTGAACTAAAGACCAATACAGATAGGCAACGAAAACAATGTAGCCTTGTTTTGTTCTTTCCTTTTCATTATATTGAGTAGAGGGAAAAGCTGCTCATAAATCTATATTTCTACTGTAATATTAGCACCCAATAAGACCTCATAAGTAATGGATGGGACCTGAGATCTGATCAGAGTTGTGTTTTCAGTGAAATCTGATGACCAGTATGCAAAAGTTTATCTTATGAAATGAATATACCTGAGAAGTCCACTCCTGATACGCTTGTTTTTGTCTTTAAATGTGACAATGGATTACTTTTTAAACTGACCTAAAATATTAATATCAACTCTATCACACTGACCAGTATAGATCTTCCCCAACCAATATATCTTGCTCAGTAAGTCAAGGGAAGTCTTTATGGTTGTTCTTTTCTCTCCTTCCACTTTCATCACCATCCAGTCTTCCATGACACTTTTGATGCCTCTCTCCCACATTTCAAGTTTCCTCCCCTTCTCCCTTTAATTATAATTAACAATTTCTTATTAGTTAAAAAAAAAAGAACAACAAGCAAGAGACCTTGTTTTTTGATACAACTCTTTGCACTGTGTCTCTTTTCTTTCTGAAAGCTTGAGGAGTCAGGTACTACACAGATTGGATTGGCCAGTAAAATGGGTTCATTTGGTCCTAGACACAAGGCTAAGATGAGGTCCTTGAAGCTGGATACTGATGCATTGGAACAACCTGTGTTACATTATATGGCATGATAGGGCTTCATGGACCATTCCCTGACCTAGACCTGCCCTATGAAAGGTTTGCCCTTGTATGTTTAAAGAGAAAAACGTTACCTGGCCACTGCTAAGCAGTAGATGGCGTTCTCCCTTGGAGTCTTACCACTGTGCTCTGAGAAACACGCCAAGGAGGATTTGAGTAAAAAGTCAGCTCTGGGTGTTGCATAGTAAAAAGATGGGTGTGAATAGTCCACTCTGGAAACTGGGGGGAGGGGGACTTGGGGGAGATATGTATTTTTTATGAGCTTTTCTTTTTTCCTAGCTGTGGCAGTAATTTTTTTCTGATGCTGTTGTTGATGTCTTTGTAATTCAGAGAATGTATTTGCATCTACCAGTGGAGGCAATTTCAAGGTTTGTTGTCTTGTGTCCTGCTGTGAAATTGCCAAAGGATTGACGGGTTTCCTGCTTGCAGTGTCTTCCCTGAGAGGCGGTAGCTTGCCCACAGTGCTTTGTGAGTCCTTGTACCTAGCCTTATTCCAGCTCTTGGAGGTCATTTTTGGTGTGGTGAAACCATCCACCATCATGGTGTCTCCAACTTTTGCCCCAAAGACCCTTGCTCCACAAAGCAGGCTTTTATTAAGGTTGTGACTCTGAGCTCTGAGGACCCACTGTTTTATTTTAATATAAATCCTCATGGGGACTGAAATTTTCGGAAAAGAAACTGTGGACCACATTTTACTCAATAAATATAATACACAGTCTTTATGCTTGTGTTTAAATGCAACAGTCAGGGGAGTTTGTCCCGCTGCATTTTTACATTCCAGGCACAGCACGCTGCAGTTGACAAAGGCCTTCAGAATCAACAGTTGGCCCGCTTCTGCAGCTGCATGAATGGGGCATTTAGAGACATCTGCATGAAGGGCTTCATGGCACCATGCTCGACAGGGGTGAACACCAACAGCCTCTTCGGGCCGCACACCCTGCTTCAGGGCCCATTCAGTGAGCTCAATGTACCCATAAAAGGCGGCGATGTACAGGGCCACCTTTTTCTGATACCTGAAATAAGTAGGAGTGGGTGTTTAGTGAGTCAGCAAACTGATAAATGTAGTTACACTAAATACCCACAAAACATACTAGCTAAATGTTTATTTCTTCCTAACTTTTACATAAAATGTTTTCAGAAAATGCAAATAGTAATATATAGGTTAAACTGCACAGGTCCTGGGGCCCCTGGGCGGCTCAGTTGGTTAAACGTGTGCCTTCAGCTCAGGTCATGATCTCAGGGTCCTGGGATCGAACCCCCTGCTCAGCGGGGAGTCTGCTTCTCCCTCTCCCTCTGCCTTTGCCCCTCCCCTCTGCTTGTGTTCTCTCTCTATCTCAAATAAATAGTTTAAAAAAAAAATAAACTGCACAGGTCCTGCTTATCCACATTATCCCACTATGCACAGGTAAATGTATCAAAGTGCTTTTCTTAGAGTGGTTTTCTTTCTCAAGAGACTCAGATGCTCAGGAAAAATATCAAGCTATCTATCTACATTTTTTTAGCAAGGGAGGGAGAAAGGGAGGGAGAGAGAATCTTAAGCCCAGCACAGAGCCTGACATAGGACTTGATCTCAAAACCCTGAGATCATCCCCTGAGCCGAAATCGAGAGTCGGACCCTTAAATGACTGAGCCACCCAGGCACCCCTCAAGCTTTATAGTAACTGGGAAAGTTTTGGAAGAAATCCGGTATGTTTTAGAAATTCGAAAGTTCTGTATGTTTGTTTTGTCTTTTCTAACAACAGTCCTTATTTTGGGCTTCTCAAAGTCTCTACTGCTATTCTCCTCTAAACCAGTAGGTTGCGCCCCTGCCAGTACTACCATAGTCTAACTGGAGCTGCTCTTACTCCCCTCCAGTGACCTCCCCCTGCAACTGAAATCCTAACTCTTCACTTTGGCTTACAGTCTGGCCCCTGCCCCACTTCCCACAGGCCCCCCTTCCCTGTCACTGCACTACGGCCACATTGCCCTTCCTACTATCCCTACAAGACCCCATAAGGCACAAGTTGAATGACTGGTGCAGGCCGTTCAGAGGGCTAAGAATTAGGGAGGCAAACCTAGACAGGGTCCCACTAGGTATACAGTAATATATATGCAGGATATATTTGGGCACGGCTATCTGAGCCCATCGTAGAGATGGAGGCAAGCTTGCCTGCTATCATCCAAAATCCACTGCATATAACTGACTATCCTCTCTCTGATTACATGCTCACCACACCATCTTGTGATGTGTACGTGGCTTCTTGTGTAAGGAAGATGACCTGCCCAGAACATGTGGGTCTCCAGGACCCACAGTTAGATTATAATTGTGGTGGTTACATTATAACTAATTAGAGCGATTACATTAATACACTGGCATTTTGGTTCACACATCAGTTTTTTTCCAGAATTCATTAATGCAAATCAGCATCTCTGAATGTGATCAGTTTTCTTGATTTGGGGAGAAGAGCCCCTCTTTGGGTGGACTAACTGGCCTTTGCTTTCATCCTTAGCACCGATGTTATGGAAGCTAGAGGCACTCTTGTTAACTGAGACTAACTGATTCTCTTTCCTAAATGTATCTTGTCACAGTGGCTTATGCTGTCATAAGCCTAGTTTGGGCCGCTGTTACCTCTTCACTGTCACCCTGTCCCCTGCCTGCCTCTATTGCTCACACTGCAACCAGGGCCAATGTTCTAAAACTCAGATCTCATCCTAGCTTTTCTCTACCTTCAATATCTTCCCAACACTGAAAATATAAAGTCCAAATTCCTTTACATTCCTATGGGTACCTGCAAGAGCTGGGCTCTTCTTACCCTTCTAGCCTCTAGCCACTACCTCTCACTCTACGATCTACCATGTGGAACTTGTTTCAGTTGCTTGAATCTATTCTCCTGCCCCTTGGGGCTCTGTACATGTGGTTCCATTTGTTTTGAAATATCTTTTTTTTTTCCTCCCTACCGTTTACCTAAGTACCAACCCTTTAGATCTCATCAATTGCCTTTTTTCAGGATGTTCACCTGAACCCCTAAGTCTAGTTGGTTGTCCATACTATACATTCCCATATCGTCTTGCATTATGTCCGTGTCCTAACACTTTCACACTGAATGGTAACAGCAACAACACCTAACATTTATGTCCTGCTTACCATGTGCCAGCTCCCCTTCTAAATTCCTATGATTACTAGGTCATGCAACCTCTAAAACAGTCCTATGAGATAGATGCAATTATTATTCTCTTTTTAGCAAAGAGGAAACTGAGATACAGGATGATTATATAACTTGCCCAAGTCTACACAACTAAACACTTAGGGATGGGGCTTTGAAGCTAGGCAGAAGGCACTGGAGTTTGTGCCCCTAAACATTTTTCAACTTGGCTTCTGAAGGAATTGGTTACTTGTTTTCTGTTGCCCCTGCTGGACTGCAAGTTGCTGAAGGCAGGGACCATATCTTGTTTACTGCTGTATTCCTGGGATCTTGCATAGTACATGCTCAATAGGTATTTGCTGATTGGGTGACAGAATAAAAGGAGCTTTTTAGTTTGTTCGTGTGTATTTTCTGAGCTGTTAGACATATTTTCCCTCTTTTTCCCCTCCTCCCTTTGTGCCTTTCTCCATTCTGTGTGTGTGTGTGTGTGTGTGTGTGTGTTTAAAGCATGATGAGAAATACAGATAGTGTGGGCAGGGAGATTTCAGGCTGGGAACTGATCACCAGAGTCGATAAGGCCTAGAGCAGAGTAAGCACGTGGCCCAGCTGAGTCAGCTGGGCTGTGTGCATGTGTGCATGTTGGGGACAGGGTCTGAAGCAGGCATGTGGGCACACCCCTGCTGCTCACCCTCCTTAGATTTTATCTAAAGGTTAAGTCAAGTGGAATGGTTAAGGATCTGAGCATTAGAGTTAAATTGCTGGGATTCCATATCCAGTTGTGACCTGGCTAGCTGTGTGACATTGGTCAGATTTCTTAATGTCAGTTTCCTCATCTGTAAAACATGATAAAAGAGTATCTACCTTGTAAAATTGTCATAAGTATAAGATTAGGTAATACATGTAACACAGTGTCATGTTAAAAGGTACTCAATAAATACGCACTATTAAAAGTAACGCAACATGGCAATTTCTTTGGATTTAGAGCATGAAAAAAGGGAATTATCACTATCCCCAAATAGAAATTACTTTAAAATATTGAATATTATGTAAAATTGCAAAAGCTGGTTTTCTAATCTGTCACTTCTTTTTTTATTTTTATTTTTATTTTTTAAAGATTTTATTTATTTATCTGACAGAGAGAGACACAGTGAGAGAGGGAACACAAGCAGTGGGAGTGGGAGAGGGAGATGCAGGCCTCCCGCTGGGCAGGGAGCCTGACGTGGGACTCGATCCCAGGACCCTGGGATCACGACCCGAGCCGAAGGCAGACACCCAACAACTGAGCCACCCAGGCACCCCTATTTTTTTTTAAGATTTTATTTATTTATGTATTTGACAGAAAGAAACAGCAAGAGGAACACAAGCCGGGGGGAGCTGAGGGAGAGGCAGGCTCTCCACTGAGCGGGGAGCCCAATGCGGGGCTTGATCCCAGGACTCTCAGATCATGACCTGAGCCAAAGGCAGCTGTTTAACCCACTGAGCCACCCAGGTGCCCCTCTAATCTGTCACTTCTTAGAGCCCTTAGAGCTCTTGGTGCGTCTGTGGGCTTCTGTAAAGCATAATTAAATCACCAGAAGGGAGCACTGTCCGAAAATACCACTGAATTAAAACCTTAAGAGTAATGCAGCTTACACGTTTGGGACCCTGCTGACTGCAGAGTTATGCTAAAATGACCACCTGCAGGGTGCCTGGGTGCCTCAGTCATTAAGTGTCTGCCTTTGGCTCAGGTCATGATCCCAGGGTCCTGGGATCGAGCCCTGCATCGGGCTCCCTGCTCCGCGGGGGGCCTGCTTCTCCCTCTCCCACCCCCTCTGCTTGTGTTCCCTCTCTCACTGTGTCTCTCTCTGTCAAATAAATAAATAAAATCTTTAACAAAATAAAATAAAAATAAAATAAAATGACCACCTGCTACTCTGAGCCTACTGCCCACTGCCCCAGCCACACATGTATGGCAAAAGTATGTACAAAAGCCTTGTACTAAAAGCAATTTGAAAAATTACTTGGGAGCTTAGGAAGAGGGAGCCAGAATTTTCAGCCAATCAGTTAGCAATTAGTGCTTTTTAGAATGATTGAATATGAAGGTGGCAAGGTACTTATTCTGATAGGCTTTAAAAGTGCTGTGAAGAGTCTGATTTCCAAACCAAACTGAAGTCACTCAATTAAATAGCATTTCTTGAGGAAAGTCTACCTGAATTGCAATCCATCACCAAAGGCTGTCGGCCCTGGTGACAATCCTGACATCTTATCTCAGCAAATATCTCAATAATAACGTCTGGTTGAGACATGCTCAGTGGCACTTGCATGGTGCAGCAACCCAGCTATAGAGTGAATTGCAGACTCAACGTCCTATAGAAGTTTAGTAAAAAGTACTTAATTTAGCATTTGCTTTATCTCCGTACTTGAGTACTGGTCCTTCAGTCGATAAATAGCATTGGACTTTAAGTTTTTGTCCCAGAAGACAACCCATCAAAAATTCCTTCCATCCATCCCAGACATCCAAACGAAGTGTCGTGCCTGTGGATCAAGAGAGGCCGTTAATGGTTCCAGTCCATCACTGTGGTTTGGCAATCCATAAAACTTCTAAGGATAGCTTTTTTCCAAGCAGAGGCATAAGCTAGATGCAAACTGAAAAGTAACCTTGGAATAAGTATACAGGGATGCTATTTTCAGCTTAGGCCTGCATTGACCTGAAAAGCCATTTAGCTTCTGTGCACTTCCATTTTCTCATCTGCATGGTGATTGCATATAATGCTGAAATGTTTTCTACAGTTATCTTAAAACAGTCCTGTGGACATTGATTCCATGCTGATATATACATCGCCATGTAAACTAAAACCATTATACTGGAAGAGGAAACTAAAGAAACTGTGGCAGGACTAATGGGCTTTTGGGGCCTTTAGCTCACAAGCAGGCTGTGGGTGGAGTTGAATGATCCTTTCATGTTTTTTTGTTTTTAAAGATTTTATTTATTTGACAGAGAGAGAGAGAGAGAGAGCACAGCAGTGGGGAGCAGCAGGCAGAGGCAGAGGGAGAAGCAGACTCCCCAAGGAGCAGGGAGCCCAATGTAGGGCTTAATCCCAGGACCCTGGGATCATGACCTGAGCTGAAGGCAGATGCTTAACTGACCGAGCCACCCAGGTACCCCTGATCCTTTCATTTTATCCATCGCAGAATAGCCATTCTGTGTAATTACACAAAAGTAATATGTTCATTGCTGCTGGAGAATTTGTCACTTACCCTCTCCTGGTCTACTCTCTGTGGCACCACATTCCCTTTCTTCTTCTGGGTGGTGTTTTTCAGGAGTCTTCTTTCTTCAGCCTTCTCTTCTCTTTACACATTCCCTCAGGATAAAACCCAGTCTCCTTCCTATCTGGCCTTCCCTCATCTCTCATCTCCCTCCAGCCTGCCTCACTCCCTCCGTTCCAGCCACTTTGACCTTTTGCCTGGCCTTCAGATACGCCAAGTCCACTCCATCTCAAGACCTAAGGATATAATTTCTTTTGCTTCAAAGAGTGTTATTCCAGATTTTCACAGGACAGTGTCTTTATTCAGTTTTCAATTCAAGCATCATGTCCTCATAGAGGACCCTCTTGGCCCCCACTGCCTTCCCCAACTGCATTATTTTTTATCCTATGACCTAATTTTAACTTCTTCATAGCTCCTATCATCAGTATTTGAAATCATTTTTCTTGTTTGGAGACTTTTTTTTCATGTCCCCACTGAAAAGAAAGCTCCTTCAAGACTTGCCACACAACCTGGCACTTGGTGCATGCTCATTAAATACTTGTTGGCTGACTAACAGGCAATCTCAGTGACCCTACTGGCTTCACTGACCACCCACGTGGCATTCATTCCCAAGTCCAAACCTCCACACCAGGCTTCTGCTCCAGCTCCAGATTCCCCCTGCTGGGACATCACCATCTAAGGGATTGCACTATGACCCCATTGTTCTGAAAGACAACTCGTCATTCTTCATCTCAGGTGGTAGCACCACTATCTTCCTTATTACCTCAACTAGACATTTAGGAGTTGGTCCTCGTCCTTCCCATTCTCATGCCCTACATCTGTACAATAGCTAAGGCCTGTAAAGTTTATCTGATGAAGGTTTAAGAACCATTTCCTTTCCTCCGTCTTACTAGCTCCACCCTATTTCAGGCCTCCATGATCTTTCACATAAATCTACTTCTGGAAGCTCCCACCAGCCTCCCCACATCTTTATTCTGGTCTCTGCTCAAATGTCATCTCCTCCTCTGGGTAACCATCTAAAACAGCCTTCCCCCACCACATTACCACATACTCTCTGTTACTATATCCTGGTTTTTTTTTTTTTTTGCTTTAGAGTTCTTATTTCTATTTAAAATTCACTGTTTTTCTGTTTCCTTAATGATGCTTATGTTTCCCACTGAGCTGCAAGCTTCAAGAGGGTAGGATATCTTGCTATTCTTGCTCACACTGTTTTGTTTTGTTTTTTTAAGATTTATTTATTTGACAGAGAGAGAGACAGTGAGAGAGGAACCACAAGCAGGTGGAGTGGGAGAAGGAGAAGCAGGCTTCCCGTGGAGCAGGGAGCCCGATGCAGGACTCGATCCCAGGACCCTGGGATCATGACCCGAGCCGAAGGCAGACACCCAACCGACTGAGCCACCCAGGTGCCCCCTTGCTCACGCTGTTATGCCCACTTTCCTCAGTGGTGCCTGGCTCATGGTAGATATCAGTAAATATTTCTTGAATGAAATTCTACCCTAGTCCCCAAATCCATTTTGGACACGTACTGCCCTCCTCACCCTTAGCAGCCCAGGAGGCTGTCCTGCACTTCTGTGTGCACATCAGGCTATTTCTGGCCTTGGAGCTTCTTCTTTTGCTGCTCTTTTGGTGTCTGAATTCTTGTGATTCTTCCCCACACGCTCCTACCAGTAGTTTATGATGCAGCATAAACTGGTATCACCTCCTCCGGGAAGCTCTTCTTAAATATGTCATTGTCTCACCTCTGCAAATAGTTAGAAGGATCGCTCAACTGGCTACCATAATGTATGTTGAAACTCTTTATCATTGAAAATACATTTCTAGGGGTGCCTAGGTGGCTCAGCTGGTTAAGCGTCTGCCTCAGGCTCAAGTCATGATCCCAGGGTCCTGGGATTGAGCCCGGCATTGGGATCCTGACTCCATGGGGAGCCTGCTTCTCCTATGCCATCTGCCTGCCGCTCCCCCTGCTTGTGCTTTCTCTCTCTCTCTCTGTGTCAAATAAATAAAAATCTTAAAAAAAAAAAAAATAGGAAAGTACCTTTCTGCTTTGGAATTGCTAGTTTGTAAACACTAATGGAGAACTCTTTGAGCCCAAGCATCATGTCTCATCCAGTCTGGGGGCTCTGTTCTAGTTATGCTTTTGGGTTGCAAGGAGGCCCTCAAGAAAATGGGATTTATTATACTGAGACAATGGCCAGATCTGTTGTACATTAGGAACAAAAGCACCTCTCAAGATGGGCCACTCCCCTTCTCTCCCATGGGCTCCAGGATCTCTCTCTCTCTCAAGCCCTCTATATCTCTGTGTCTTCTCCCTTTCTCTGTTGACAGGCTGCCCTGTGGCTCCCTTACAGGTTCTGTCCTACCGTAACTGAGGTCTGCATGCAACATCGCTCTGGCCACGACCCAACCTTTCTTCATGGCACCATACATTTTCTGCCCATACTGGTAACCAGTTTTGTCTCTCTGTATTTCCCAGTTTGAATTCACAAGACTAATGATAATTAATAATAATAATATATTGAGTATGGGGCGCCTGGGTGGCTCAGATGGTTAAGCGTCTGCCTTTGGCTCAGGTCATGATCCCAGGGTCCTGGGATCGAGTCCCACATTGGGCTCCCGGCTCAGCGGGGAGCCTGCTTCTCCCTCTGACCCTCTCCCCTCTCATGCTGTTTCTCTCTCGCTCGCTCTCTAAAAAATAAATAAAATCTTTAAAAATATATATATATTGAGTATGAATAGCTAATATTCACTGAATGCTTATTATATGCTCAACATTATTCTAAGTACTTTACATGAATAAGCTAATTTAAAATTTACGACAATCCTAAGTGTGGTTTGTATTATTCTCTCCATTTGACAGTTGAGGAAACTGAGGCACTATGAGATTAAGTAACTTGCCTGGGTTTTACATACCCAGTAAGTAGTAGAATCAGGAGTTGTACCTAGGCAATCTGGCTCTTGTGCCTACATTCCTGTCCTCTAAGTTACCTTTGTCTCTGAACAAGAATTTAATTGACTGATGTCATTGGACAATCTGTAGATTTGCTGGCTGCCTTTGAATCAGTATGATGACATTGGCAGTAGGACCTGGGGGTATATTCATGACTTTGCTTATCCATACATATCCTCAGATTCAGACACATAATAGGTTCATAATAAATACTTACTGGTATTTATCATCCTTGACACCATAGATTTCATTTCTCTAAAGCTTCTTGCTGTACTTTTTTTTTTTAAAGATTTTATTTATTTATTTGAGAGAGAGAGTGAGAGAGAGAAAGAGCACAAGAGGGGGGAGCGGGAGAGGGAGAAGCAGACTCCCCGCTGAGCAGGGAGCCCGATGCGGGACTCGATCCTGGGACTCCAGGATCATGACCTGAGCCGAAGGCAGTCGCTTAACCAACTGAGCCACCCAGGCGCCCAGCTTCTTGCTGCACTTAATTTTCTTATTTAAAGGTTTGATTCCTATGGGTAACATTGAAAACAAGGGACTTTAAACACTGTTCAAATTGCATTTATTTCATCTCCTGACTTAAATGATTTGCTATGTTTGTAGTTTACTATAAAAATTACCCATAGATGAGTATTAAAAAGCTTGCTTGGCACTGTATCCCTGCCTCCTTGGTCCTCCACAGCTGAGGCCACACAGCCTCCATTTTGAAGAACCAGCCAAGCTTGAGGCCCAGAGAATAATCTTAATTCCAGTAAGAGGGAATATGTTAAGATTCCAGACTCAGGTGGGAAGTTGGTGTTCCTGTTCATCCTGTGTGGATATTGTCTCAGTTCTAATAACTTGCCCTGTTCCTCCTGACCAAGCTCCCACCTTGTGCCCCAGAACATGAGTGCCTATATCCTACCCTACCTTTTGGGTTTTAGAACTGAGGTCCATCTGTCTCTGAGCCTAGAACTGAAGTTCCTACTCTGAACCCCAATCTCTGGGGTTAGATTTCTGTTACATGTTGCCAGAGCCTCTGATGTCAACAACCAGCTTGTCTAGTTTTTCACCTCTTGTGTCATTCATTTATTTATTCATTCGCTACCTTGATGCTCTGCTATGGTTCATTCACCCACCAGGTCCCTGCTAGGTCTCTCTGAGGTCAACTTCTGCCTTCCTGCATCTAGTTGCAGAGTGATCTGCCTGCCTATCCCAGGGCTCCCACCGGCAGGACTTACTTGAGACTAACTTCCCTCTTCCTGGCCCATCTGCCCTTCCCTAAGTGGTTGTCTAGTCTCAGGATCTCAGCTCTTCCTAGCTCAACCTGTCCACTGTT